CTTCGTGCCATCGTAAATGGCTGATGTGTAATGATTACTGTTTATGTAGTTTTACTGTGACAGCAAGTAGTACTATGCTGCGTGCACATCCAAATGGAGAAAACAGCCTTTAGCATGCCAGTTTACATCAGCATTTCTTCGTTTATGTCTTCTCTGCCTCTACAATTTATTTCATCTATACTGTAGGCAGACCAGAGCAGTACTTAAAGCTACCTCCACAAGGCAAATATACTTTATGTAGACCTCTCACAGAATGTCATTTCTCAAAGACACAATGGGAAGCTGCAACCACAAATAATAAACTGACTATAATTTGTAGATGATATGCTAAAGCTTATGTATACTGGGAAACAAGACCTGTTCATGATGCATGTGTTTAGTGCTGCGTACATGCTTCTTTGAAATACATTTTGATTTTAGGAACAGATCCTTGCTGTGGCCACATACCAATAATCCTTCAGAATATGATCTCCTGATTATCACTGGGCTTTCTTAGTTACACACATACATCAAGTAACGCCACATCATACAGAAGCTATGCTGCCTAACATTAGAGGTTACCTTAGATCAAGCATCAGATGGAGCCAGTCTGCAACAAGTGATGGTATGCTTTTGATGCTCACCAGACATTTTCAGCATAGATGGCACTGATGACAATGTCCTTCTCTATCAGTCTCTGACATCTCAGATGGCAAGTCACAAGAATGAGTTAGACGGATTTGACTCACACATTACTTTTTTTCATGAGACCAGTGGCAGACAATCCATCGATTTACATGCATAAATCACAGATTAATTTTATGATTACACCTGATTTTGTAACTGACATATGTTTAACTGGTCTTATGTGAACCGCTCTGTTTGTCTGCAGTCTGTGTAGTGTGAGCTAAGGAAGCATGCCTAACATTACACTGCTGGTGCATCAGTCATGGCTACACCATTGAATGCAATCACAAGTTATCTGTTCCTCAGCTTCCACACAATATTACTTGATTTACAGCACAGCTGAACACCTAAGTGGCCAGTGACATTTGTTTCCTCCACTGATAATAATGATTTTCCTTATGGCTCATAGGGCTGCAGTCAACTATTTCTGCTTCTGGAAACAGAGCTGTCCAAAGACAGTCTTGACAACAACCAAAGGTGACAGGGAGCTATTGTTCTGTAATGGCTGCTTCACATCTCCTACTGCCACGGTATAGGACTTCCTCCACCTTGGCAATTGGTGACAAAACTTAGGCCATGTTGTGAGAAGATACAGGAGCCAGGACAGAACAAGCCCCCGCAACCATAATCCTTGCTGCTCAGCCCGGTCATCTTGTGCTATCTCCAATTTAGGCTGCTAATGGTGTGGTAGCTTGCGTTTCCACTTTCTTAAAAATGCAGTGCCTGGAACATTCACTGTTCAGTTTGCTATGTGTCTTTTTTAAGGTTTGCCCTAGCGACAGTTCAAATGCAAAAAACTAGAATAGGAATGTTAACGCTTCCATTGCTTATAGGCAGACCTACTTTCTATTCTACGCACTTTTTTTTTCTAACCAACAAGCTAGAATTTGATTCTATATAATTTGGTACCAAACGCTACATTTAACTGACATTAAGATTGTGAAGTAAGACCCCCCCGGAAAAGTTGAAAATTCAAAAATTAAGCCTTACTTTTTGTTCTTAACCCACAGTGCTAATGGCACTGGAGTCTTGACCAAACAATTGGGGAGGTGAAGTACACTTTTAAGAAAAAGTGTAAGTCTGCCCCTTGAATCTATTAGCTTCTGTTATTTTCATTCACAAAATTAGCCTTAAAAAAATCTTTTTCTCTAATTATACCCTCCCTTTGCCCCACTTTGAAAGAAGAAAAAGAACAAAAATTCATAGGAAGATATAGAATATGTATTACATTTATTCAGGAGACTTGAAAGGGCTCCTTTGGAGCCATTTGAGTCTCTCCATCCCAGCCTATCCAGTAAATATACAGTTACATAGTATTTTAATATTTTTTTTTGATAAAAATTAATTTTTGTCTACAGTCAATAACCTTTTCATAGGTTTATACATTAAAATGCCAGAGGAAACACTGCCATCATCTACTCTGGCCTGCTGCATCGTACAGACCACAGCACTCTGAAGATACACGACCCTGTATAGTCAGCTTGATAGACTGTAACTGATTAACACAATGCATATTCAGTTTTTGTATTGTTCCACAGTACAGATCATGACAATAGCAATATGGAAATGTTTATTAAAAACTTTATGAAAAAGGTTACGGCACATGAGCAGGAACCCAGATCGCAGAACTGAAAATATTTCCAAATTGTTTTTTCTTAATTCTCATAATTATAGGCCCTGGTAGAAAAACAACTGTTCAAAAAATAACATTGTCTTAGAACTTTAACTTATTTGAGTTCAAAACTAGATCAGGCAACACCACTAATTTACTTCCATAATTTGAAACTAACCAGTATGTATTTGGGAATTACAGTGAACATGATTGCTCCTACATCTTTTACTTAAAGCAAACCTTTATGACTCATATAACCTACTGAAAATAGGAGTATGTAATAGAAATGCTGACACAATCTTGCTCTGCATGACATAAACATGCCAATATAACATTATATTTTCTCCCTCTCTCTGTATATAATATATATGCACTTTTAAGTAAAAGAAAATAGATATAAACAATCAACTTATCATGTATTCATGTATCTATGATGTATACCATATACCAAGCACTAGACTTATCACACTTACCTTCCTGCATAATTAAAGTTAAATTCTCCAAATACAAACATTTTTGTTACCTTATCAAAGAACAACAGTCAACATGCTCAGCACTTCATTACTGTCAGGGAAACAGTTGCACAGAAAGTTAAAGCTGCCATGAAAGATATTTCAAAATTGAAGTGAAATTTTCAAGTGAATCAAAAACCAGATGAGATGCTTTTCTGACTTAAAGATAATATAAAATGAGTTCTCCTATTGCAGAGGAAAACCAAATGCAGAATACGTAGTGCTGTTAGTATTTTCCACCAACTATCCAAGGGACATAATTGGAACAGCAACATGAATAATTTTGTTCTGTCTGTCGCAGAACATAAGTTATAGTAGTTTGTTGACAGTAAAAATCTCTCCATGGATTAAAATATGCACGTATGTGTGTGTTTGTGCACATTTATATGTATACAAACACACACACATTTTAATATATATGACAAACAGGCATAGAATTCCGAATTCACCAAATGAGCTGATGTGCAGTAAATATCCTATGTTACTGAATTGTCAATTAATCTATATTTTCAGCAACAATTGAATTGGATTTACTAAATAATGCTATGGGCTGATACTGGTGCACTTCTAACCTACAGTATGCAGTACCTCTACAAAACATCTCCAAAATGCCATCTGCATTGCATATTTGTTGTAAAACTATATCTTTTTCTAATCTTCATTTTTGTTAGCTGTACATATGCATATCTGTTTATGCTCTAAGAAATAATTTTGCAATGCTTTATAGCATGCCACATATTTTCATAAAATAAGTCCTCAAATCAATATAAAATCATGTAATTGAACAAAAAGGCATACTATTTTTCATGCTATGCTCAATATAAATATAAATTCAAGGCAGTCAAGCTATCCATTACCAAAATAATAATAACCATAATATATATGCATATATACCTACACTCTCTAAAAAGTGATCCAGTTGTGTGGATTAAGAAACCAGTAAGAAATTGGTTGAATGTAGTATAAAAGTCTCATTTTATGTAAAAGCCAATACTGGCCATTTCAAGTATTTTAATACTTTCCTATAACCTTTTCATTAACAACTAGCTATCTGTAGAAATGATAATTTTATACTGAAAATTGTATTCAAGTTAAATAAAAATTAACTTCTACTGTAGTTCATTTTTAGAGTGTGCATGTATACATAGCAAAATACCCTTCTACAGATCTATCATAAATATTTTAGTTTATGTCAGTTCTTTTCAATGAAAACACTTCAACATTTTTTTTTCTCAAATTTTAGATAATGTATATCAGGCCTTTTAAGAAACAAAACTCATCTTAGTTCATTAGCAACACCAGATTCCCTTCAGTTTGTGCCAGTTTGCAAGTTAAAGGTCAAAGATCAAAGACGTAGGACAGTACGCTTTAAGGAAATTCAGACAGTGAAGCTGTTCACAGAAGACAATGTTTAACTTGGTAATGACAGTCAATAATCAAGTTCAAGGCAAGCTGTTCATTGTTGCAAAAGCTACTCCCCTCAAATCCTGGCTTTCATAAAAAACCAGGGGTCTGACTTTTGGGGTGCATCGTTCTGACCATCTTTAATAAGTTCACAGCCCAGTGACTGTAAAGCCTATCACTGCAAGAAGCAGCTCCTAAAATCAATAAAGAGGTCTGTCAGTTGCTGACTTTTCTCTAGGAAAAAAATATTGATACAAACCCGCTCTGCAGGTCACATGAAAATGACAATACTGCTGTTAGCACAAAGTACACAGAATGACAAAATGCTTTGGTGGTCCCTTGGCTCTGTCAGTGATACCACGGTTGGCTGAAGGCCAGAAATTTGACTAACCCTTTGAGAACTATGGTGAACATGCAAAAGGGTAACACACCAGAGGATACTCATGCAATATCAGAGTCATCACTTCAGCTTTCCTTTGAAACCATAACTCTACCTCTGCAGAGGCAAATTGAATTATCATGCAACATAGTTCAAAAGAGAAATTCAAGATGCTTAAGTTAAAAGGCTAAGCTATAAAACTGTCGCCCATTCAGAAAAAAGTCTTGGTAAGTGGTAGAAGTTATTAAAATAGGTTTGGTTCCTTTAACCAGAAAGTAGCTGGCAAATATACTTTGTTTTCTATTTATGTTACAAATGGTTTTCTATCAATAATGCAAATAATTAAAAACACTCACTTGCAGTCACAGGAAATCTGTTTTGAAAAACTGATTGTCTTTTAAAACCTGTATTACCCAAAGACAATCCAAACCAAAGTTAACATCCACCAGACTCTGAAAATGGATGCAATAGTTCTCAAAGGGTTACACCACCAATGTAATACCAGCGTCAAGTTTCTCTGTAGCATGACTGTTGCTTTATTTCATCGAAATCCACTTCAGAGACAACACTGCTTTTTACCGTGCTTTGGAATGAGCGCTCCTGACAGACCTGTGAAAGGCCTGGGGCAGTTGGCTTGGTACAGCTTGGGAAAGATTATGCAGGAAAACCAACCAAAAATAAAACAAACCAATAAAAAGGTTCTGCTTGAGTATAGTAATGAATATAAATGAGTTTAAAACATTGAGGACGTAGCCCAGAGCAGCTGTAAAAAACACAAAATGAATGTATTATTAAGGCTGTTACTATATTGCAGATATTTTGGCCCCTTGTTTGTTGGAAAATGGCTGTCCGAACAGTCTGAAGTCCTGCATGTCATCCGAGTCTCCCACCTGACAAAACTGGAAGTAGGAGTATAGGACTTTATCCATAGCAGACAGAAAGCAATCCTCTTTGGAGACAAAGCTGTTTTGGGTCTTCTCACTTTCCGGAAAGTTCCATTGTGGGTTGTTGTGTTTTTCTAAAAAAATTTACTTTCAGCAAAAAATTTTTCAAAGGGGAACAGGCCTTAAGGGAAAAAATGTAGAAACATGGAGATTTTTTATTTTTTTTTTTTTTTCCTCCTCTTCATTAGTTAATCCTGATAGTTTGTAGGGCATTGAACGTGCAGAGGAAAGGCCTAGAATCGAATGACAGAGAAAGACAAAGGACTGAAGAAACAGCAGATACTGTGTATCATGGAAGCTTCCCAGCTGAGCGAATCGCCACTCATGCGCAGGACAGGCAACCCTCTGGGTTTTTTAAAGATCAGCTTTGTTTCAGACTGACAGATGCCCGCTCCTAGCTAGGAAACTGCATAACAGCTCTTGTGTTGAATCTCAAGTTACCACAAACTCCTGGGAGGGTAAGAAAAAAAAAACACCCAAAAAAACCCTACATCACACCCACTCTTGCATAGAGCGTTTGCAGTACAGTATGTGGCGGGGTGTTCCTTTCCTTTTGAACTGGAACACAGTGTAAACCAAGACAAGGAGGCACAAGGCCAGGATGCAGGGAATGACGATGGCTATGGCTTTCACAGTGCTGGCTGTGTTGTCCAGTTTGATGACAATGTCAACGTCATCCTGAGGGCTGTGTCGGTCTTTATCTCGATCTGTTGGTCCATCACAACCCATAAAATCCTTGAGGATGGATCTGGGATACCCAGGTTCCACCCTGAGCATCTGGTTATTGAATTTCCAGTACTCTTTTCCTTTGTAGAAATATGTGAAGCCTGAGGAAGAAAATTGCAATTATTCACGGTCATATCAGATCATATCATGTCATTAACGTACCATGCGCAAAACTACTGGTAACAAATTATTTTGCAATTAAAAAATTAAAAAGTTGTAAGGAGTAGATTGCAGTTGTAGGCCTTCCAAATCTTCTTTACAAACGTCTTGTCTTTATTGTTTCTAGAAAACATAACATCAGGATGGGTTTTTTTAATTCAGAAAACCAGGATTTCATTTTCTTCCATTACTACCAAAAGTTAAAGGAATTCCAGTGTATATGATCTTTGACAGGCCAGAGTCCAGCTGATTTGTTCATTCACTGAAAACCTAGCCAGGGTTGGAATCCTCAGGGCCATGACTTTAAAGCATCACTAAAGTACCTCTTCAACATGGGAATTCTTCTGAAACAAATTGCAATGCTATGCCAGCCAGAAATGAGAATTGACCTTCTTTGATGTCACATAGCCTACTGCTGTACTTTAGAAGGAAACCGGATGAAATAATAGCAGCTTTGCCAAAAGAAAACAGGTGTAACCAGATTTAAGTTTTCTGCAAAGAGCTGTCATTTGATTTTTTTTCAGGCCCAATCCAATGTTATTACTAAACACGCCTAAATGAAAAAAAACGGAACAAAACAAAACAAAAACTTGACTCCTTGCCAAAAATCTACATTACTTCATTATCACAGCTGAAAAATGGCATTGATCTGTCAAGAAAGAAACCTTCAGGATGGGTGGACTTCCTCCTACTGTTTATGAACTGAATGCAAAGAGCTGAATATTTCCTTATCTTCACTTTATAGACCTCAGTGTATTTCCTGTAGTACTAAAGGCCACCAAGAATACTAAGACAGATTGGGCCCTATTTGGGCCCTATTTATTGTTTTAACAATGCTTCCTGAAAGGATCGGCTACCTGCAGATAATATTAGTAATCATCTACTCAAACAGCAGTTAGTTTCTTTCAGTTCTAAAAATAAATTACTTGATAGCATACTTTGCAGCTTAAACTATAAAAAAACCTTCATCATCCACTGCCACTTTTCAGAGCATTTAGAATATTTGAATATTCTTCTACATTAGCTATTTATGTAATTTTAATGGCTTCCCTAGCCACTGAAAAGGTCCCATTTTCCGTTCCTTAATCCCTTGCAGTTTTATTATCTGAGTTAGCGTATCTGTAGAAAAATCTATTACTGGCTAAATGAAAAATCAAAAGAAAAGCACTGGTCTATATCAAAACAATAGTTAGGAGGCTTGTTCACAAAATGCCTTCTATTCTGATTGGAACAAATCAAAGAGGAGGACTGTAATTCTTTAAATATAATGAAATTTTAAAATTTTAGCGTATATAAGGTTCCTTAAAGCAATTTGAAGTTTAAATAAAAATATTATCAAATGAACAATGTCAGTATTTTGAGCCACATGTAACCCTATCTTCATATTTCATATAATAACATGTATGTAGGAAAGCACTGTGCAGACTGGCCCTGGATAAATATTTCAAGTTTGGAAATTCGATATATATTATCTCTATCAATATTCTAATATATACATGCGGACCATATATAGATACAACATCTCTAAATCTGTATTCTTACGTATATACAGAATATGTATATGTATACATCTGGGGTGCATATAGTATTGATAGTTATTAGACACTGAAATATCAAACTAAAACTGTTAAAATCAAAGAAAGTACCAAAGGAATCACCAGCCCTTAAGGTCCGTAAAAATTCTTCAATTAGAGCATATTTTCCACTGGAAAACTCTGAGGGTAGTTGAAACATTTCTGTCATTTTGCTGAGGCAGAAGCCAGGATAACAGTAATAGCTGAAGGATGGAAGTTACCAGCAGAGATGGGTAGTTCTAAGAGACTGAGTAGTTTCACTGCTTCTCATGGCAGAACAAGTGGCTTCACACAACTGTTGGAAGTTATTTCATCTAATCTGCCTGTCTTGTCAAGCCTGCTTTGGGAGTTGCTCCTTCCAAGTTTCCATGTGCTAGACCCTGAGAGTAGTGAGCCCATTGCCTGACCCAAACAGCATGGAAGGGCTTAGCAATCACCAACGTGTCAGACAGAAACTCAAATTAAGAGTGGTACTAATCACAAGGCAAAAACAGCTCAATGGGCTAATAACGTAGACCACATTTTCTCTTTTTTCTCTCTAAAAATTGCCCCACCATCCACTTTAGCAGAATTTCTAGATGGGAGGTGAAATTTTCTATACTGGTCTCAAAGCAGAATGAAAGATTTCTCAGATCTGAAGAACTTTGTGTGATCTCAGATTCCATGGAGCAGGAGAAAGGAAATTTCTTCTTCTTCTCCTCCTAAGAGTTTCTATCACAGTGTTAGAAACCAAATCACGACATGGGAAGTAGCAGGGAGAGTTTCAAAAATGTTACCTGTACCTTACCAAGCTTCTAGGACACTGGGTCAGGATGCTGTATAAATTAGGAAATTGTTTTTTCTCATCTTTCCCAAGTCTCTTACTGCAAGATTACCCACATTTTTTGTAGACAGTCAAGGAAACCCCTTTATGATCAGACTTCTTGCAGGTGTTCATTTGCATGGTTTATACAATAGAAAGACAAGGGAAAGAAAAATGTGTTCTTTAAAATGAAGCGTATTTACTGGAAGACGTGCTTTCAGATGTTTCCTTCTAAAGCTATATAGTAAACCTTCCTTGTCAGCTCTGCTTCTCCCCAAAGAAAGGAAAACAGTTTCAGGCAAAATGTAATCAACTTATTTCCAACTAATCTGTGGTACTTCTTATTTCCATCTGCTTTTGTTTCTTTCCCTCCTCATACAAATAAGAGTGGAGTTGTGAACTGTTTCTTAAGACTTCTGCCTTATTGATTTCAGGGAAAATGTCTTAGTGGTCTTCTTGGGAACTTTATGGTGTCATTTTCAGTCCCTCTTTCTGCCCCGGGGCCCTTTTAGGCTTTCCGAGAAGCCCAAGAATGGCCAATTTCCCTTCCCCTCTCACAGCATGTTTCACCACCCTCCTCATTGAAAGAGTCAGAAGACTGTCAAAGCCACTGGGGTAAAAAAGAGAAGTGGCTTTGATGTAACAAAGAGTCTTTCTTGCCTCTGCAGTACTTTCAAAGCCACTGGTTTGAGTGTTACAGCAAGATGATTTCCACTTGTAATGACTGACACACGTACCTGAGCTCAGGATGGAAAACTTATTATGGTGAAAGCAATCAAGGTAAGAAAAAAACCCTAACCTACTCATACATACATATACGTATGTGTTAAATTCCTTTTGGATATAAATCTTTAAAAATATGCTTAAAAAGTAACGAAGGGAAGAAAGCAGAGGTTATATCCATTATGTTTGTCTGCGCATCCGTAATGTTTGTGCCCATTTCCACATATATGTGTATTTACAAACACTTAGTCATCGTGTGATGTATGCAGAATATCGTCTTGACTGACCTACTTTCCAGTTAAAAACAAAACAAATAAAAACAACACAAAAAAATCCAGTCCAGCCAAACGGCCAGAATCCAGAGAGCATTTCTGCTTTTGGATAAAACAGAGAGAAAGCAAGGAAGCAATTAAACATATTTATGAAAAAAAAACAACAAAAACCAAAATAACAACCCAAATATTTCCATTGTAAATTACTTAATTGAGTCAGAGGTTGAAATAGGAGCCTGAAATAGTTTATACAAGGAAATAAATGGTTTTATCTGCTTATTAGAAGGAAATTAAAATAACATGGCAATATATACATGTGCTGTCTGTGAGGCAAACAGAATAAACTTGAAACCCGCTAATAAATAAATCATAAATGCCACACAGTTTACACACTTATCAACGCAATGATAAGTGACGATAAATGCGTATTTTTATTCCCGTCAAAGGGATCTAAGCTCTGTGGGACTGAGGGCTCTGCTGGCAGCCTTCCAGCAGCCCCTGGGTAGCGCTGAATTCTCTTCAGATGGAGGAGATTTTGGCTGCTCTCCTTCACTTGGTGGTGTGGCCAGCCGAGATTCTAGCCTCCTGTACGTGATGATACGTCTTGATACAGGTAATAGCACTTCCCACCAACATCCCTGTGATCTGCCTTTCTACATCCTGAGCTTATGACATCTTTGATTCACACAGATTCCCAGGGATATTGCTGCTTAAAGATTTTGCTTCCCTTTTCTAGTTGATCAGAATGAAAGTAATACCTTCTACGCTGTTTAAACAACCAACATCTTGACAACTCAGAAAGAGATATTCTGTGTTTAGGAATCTGGTTTTAAGAGGGACCATAATTCAGCAGAGAACAAAAAGATAATTAAGTGAATTGAGACACAGGGAAAAAAAAGGAGATTAAAGTTTATGATACTAAATTTGAAAGATTTTTCTCCACTGTGTTAAATGATACATGCAAACATACAACCATTTTCAGAACAGCAAGTTCTATAGCAGGAAATATTCTGTTCATAAATCAAGAATTCCTTCACTGCTTAACTTGAATTGTCAATCACCCCTCTACTACTCTATCTTACAAAAAGGGTATTAGTAAATCATTAAAAAAAGGAAGTGTTTGCATACCATTTTCTTTGTGGACAAAGGCTCCCTGAGGAGATTCTGGGATACCTTTCCAAATTGTGATTGGTTTAGGATAACCAGGGTCCATGGATCTCATTTCTTCACTGTACCTCCAGTACCTGGAATATTTTTTTAAAGGACCAAAAAAAAAAAATATATATAAGAAAGCAGATGAGTAACTACATATTTCATTTCCTTCTAACATTTGCTACATTCATTAGCCACAAATCAGAATACTTGACTTCTTTTCTTTGAACATACCACCAGATTACAAAGAAACCTTTTTGCTGACTGGACAACCGTTTCATGTAAGCAGAAATAAGATAAAAGATTTTTGCACTTTGACGACTAAACCAGCATGCATCTCACTTACAATCTCAGCAATTCTGATGTCTAGGACTTCTGCACAGTGACCCAGAGAGATGCAACATATGCAAAAAAGATACATTAATGTTTAGATAACATTTTAATCATGAAAAAGACAGCAGATTCAGATTAAAATACTCCCAGCAATCTTAATGTAACTCTTTATATGTAGGCATTACAAAAGCTTTTCATTACATTATCACTAAAGAGATACAGTGTAATACAAAATTCAACTGGTTTTGTGCTTTTTTTCCAGCCAGCCCTTCTCAAATTTAAATTCTAGGCAACCTGAACATGTAAGAAGTATTTACACTTTTGATTTTATTTACACTTACAGATAATGTTGATAATTTCTTTGTCCTTACGCAGCTGGCTAAATCGCTACGCATATCTTACTATAAGCTGGTTCTAAGAATTAACATATGGTATCTCTAGTATCCCTGTGTATCCTGATATAATATTTGAGTGGGTCATTTCATATTTTGATTGGCTCCACTAATTTAAAGCATACCAATTTAGAGCCTAGTTTTCTTGGAATTTTTTTTTTTCAAAATCAGTTTTATTCATGTGAAACATTATATAAAAAGACAGCCACTCACCATTTCAGGACATCAAGAGCCTGAGAATATATCACTTTCATTGATAATCTCATCACTGCTAAAAACTTGACCCTTTTTCTAATTTGAATGTATTTGAGTTCAGCTTTTAGAAATCCTTGTTATGAACATTCCTGATATATTAAAGAGTCCTTAAGTGGATGATATTTTGTCCCTGCAAAGGTACTCAGACACTCTAATCAATTCACATCTTAATCTTTTTTAAAAACAAAATGGTCTAAACTCCTCTGCATTTCTCCCTGTGGGGCATTTATCTGGCCTTAAACTTCCAATGAAATTAAAAGGTGGCAGATTTCAAGTGGGTTAAGAATTGGCAAGTTACATTAAAAAACATTTGTATTTATTTTTTCTTTCTTATGCATAAATTATTTTTATAGCCTGATTTCTTAATCTACTCACATATGCATCAGTAACCAGCCAACAAAGCAATGCTATTTATTTTGAAATCTAACATCTTTCAGAGTTTGCAGTCTTTTACATGGAGAAAGAAACAACATGTAGAAGCAATAAACAAAGCTCTGACATCAACAGTATTGCAGTGCTTGCTCATCATTTGACTATGTGTTTCTTCATCCTTAGTTTGCATTTTCTCTTTTCACATTTGCCTGTTCTCTCGTTCTCTCTGCTTCTTTATTCTCACTTTTTACTGCAATTAATATTCCATTTTCTAGACTCCAATTTTATCTGCATTTCTACTTTATCAACCATCTCACCTTTTTCTCTATCCTTCGTTCCCAGAACCCTATCTCCTTCCTTCATACTTCCACTCCTTTTCCTTTTTGAGCCTGTTTAAGCTCCTTATTTTGCTAACCTCTGCATTTTTCAACTAGGCTGCTTGATGGAAATACACAACCTTACAGGACTTTAAAAAATGTATGTTGTCATTAAAAAACAAGTATTTCACGACACACCCAGTGCACACTCAAAAGTTCCAAAACTGTTGATTTTTCAGCATTGATGAGAAATCCTATGATGGAAAGACTGATCATGATGCTATCTTGGCAATCGGTGCTGGAATAATGAGCGTGTCTACAAGTAAGGAAAAGCTTAGTCCTGATTCTCCTTGGCATGCCAGATGTTCACAAGCTGACTCCTCAGTGATGATTTGAGCGATTAGAGCTTTACAGACTATATAAATTGTGTTACAGTATGTCAATGACTGATAAAATAACAGAGACAAAATAAATGAAAATGCACTTTATTGCTTTAAAAAAAGGGAATTTTGAAAATATTGGCTAAAACATGTTCTTTCCTGTTTCTAATCCTATTTACTTAATCCTACACTGAACTAGTGGATGACTAAGCTTTATGAAGAAAAAAATGTTCATTTAACTCTAAAGTACAAAAACCAGCCACACCAGACAAGGCCATAAACAAGACCACGTGTCAAGAAGTGCAGCAAAACCGTTATCATCTTAGAATCATAGAATGGTTTGGATTGGAAGAGACCTCAAAGATCATCGAGTTCCAACTCCCTGCCCTGGGCAGGGACACCTCCCACCACACCAAGTTGCTCAAAGCCCCATCCAGCCTGGCCTTGAACCCCTCCAGGGATGGGGCAGCCACAGCTTCTCTGGGCAACCTGTTCCAGTGCCTCATCACCCTCACAGGAAAGATTATCTTCTGCCCTCTTTCAGTTTAAAACCATTACTCTTCGTCCTATCACTCCACACCCTGATAAAGGGTCCCTCCCCATCTTTCCTGTAGGCCCCCTTTCAGTACTGGAAGGCTGCTACAATGTGTCCCCAGAGCCTTCTCTTCTCCAAAGTGAACAACCCCAACTCTCTCAGCCTGTCCTCATAGGAGAGGTGCTCCATCCCTCTGATCATCTTTGTGGCCCTCCTCTGGACTTACTGCAACAGGTCCATATCTTTCCTGTGCTGAGGGTTCCAGAGCTGGACACATCACTCCAGATGGGGTCTCACCAGAATGGAGTAGAGGGGCAGAATCACCTCCCGTGACCTGCTGGCCACGCTTCTTTTGAGGCAGCCCAGGATATGGCTGGCTTTCTATGCTGCAAGTGCACATTGCTGGTTCATGTCTAACTTCATATCAACACCCCCAAGCCCTTCTCAGGGCTGCTTTCAACCTATTGCCTGCTCAGCCTGTATTTGTTCTTAGAATTGCCCCAACCCACGTGCAGGACCTTGCACTTGGCATTGTTGAACTTCATGGGGTTCGCACGGGCCCACCTCTCAAGCACTCTGAATCTCAAGCCCTCAGGTCCCTCAGGACTGTATCCCTTCCTTCCAGTGTGTTGACTGCACCACACAGCTTGATGTCTTCTGCAAATTTGCTGAGGGCGCTCTCAATCCCATTGTCCAAGTCAATGCAAAAGGTGTTAAACAACACCGGTCCCAGTACTGACCCCTGAGGAGTGCCACTTATCCATCTTGTCCTACACTGCTCAATTCTCGTAGGAGAGGAATGAGAGAGGGCAAAATGCTTTATGTAGTCATCTTTTGTCCCCTCTTTCACACAATTATTTGGAAGAATTATCTTTACTGTTTAAATGGATTACTTCAAATATTAATAACAACGATCTGTAGATTAATTGCTTTAGACAGATGAGTACTACAATACTTTTTACTGTTTGGACTTTTAAATCCTCTTAGGTTTTTTTTGCTGTTGTTGTTGGGTTTTTTTAGGTTTTTGGTGTTGGTTTTTTTTCATTTTATAGCCAATATTTGATTCTTTGTATTCTATTGCTCTAACTTTTTTATTTATACTACTGTTCTGGGACATTTAACTCTGTCTAGATTCTGCTCTCGAGCTCCTAAACTACAGGTTACTGTCAAAACAAAGTAAGTATACAGGTCCTTGAGTTACATAAGGAGGAACATACATTTTTATTTTGATGCTGGTGTAACTTTTTGGTTCCCTTTCATTCCTACCTCCTGCCACCAAAAAGCTACATTTATGTTATACCTTCTTCAGGAGGAGATCCACCCCGATAGTAAAATTACATATACTACTAAAACCAGCAGGAGAATTCAATCTAACTTTACATTAAATAAAAATTGTGATATAAACAATGCACATTGAGAAGGTGAATGGTACATGGGTTTATTCCCACTGGTGGTCAATATCCTGTAATAGCTCAATTATCTCTGCAAGGTTCACGTTGTTCAATCTTTTTCTAACATACTGTATTGCATTTATATCCTGCTGAGTTTCGTTGTGCTTGTTAGCTCTAAGCAGCAACTTCTCTGTCAACAGATGTTTTCTCTGATAGTTCTTTTTGTCTTCTGTTATTACCACTAGTGTTTTAGGAAAGTCCTGACTACAAGTAACTGCCTGTTCATGGAAATATAAAAAGACACTGCTGAATAAAGCCTAAAGGAAGTACAGGTGATGTAACATTCTTCCTGAACATACTTTCCCTGGAGTGTTGAGGTGGAAAATTATTACCTGAAAATGAAGTTACATTTTTTAAAAAATCTACTCAACCATTGGAAGAAAATTGTTTAGGTGCTTTTATTCTTCACTGTGGAAATTGATTGCTTGAAATGATACTTAATTTTCAAACACCAGAAATATGTTACTTAGTTATTTACTTTCCTCATCATGGGCACTGGAGTATTTTATTTTTTTAAAAAAGCTTTATCAATAAAACTGGTTGTGGCAATCTGTAGCGCAATATTATAGTACTGCTAAAAAATTATCAACTCTAGTGCACAAAACATATTCTATGATGTGCATTAAATTTATTTCTTAAGTGATCCATGAATACTACCAATGTCTCAGAATCCTGTGCCACAGAGTAACAAAAGCAGTCATCATACTTTTAACAGAAGTAAACCAAACATTACAATTATTAATAAAGAATAATTTGAGCACTCAGAATTTGCATAGTAATGCATCAATCAACAAACACAGTAATATCCTGAAAACCTGTAAAATCCATCATTCTGATAACTTGCAGGGTTTCAAAACTTAAAGAGTTCTCTGGACATCTCTATAAAGCAGACAAATATTCCTTCCCTTATTTTTACAGACAGGTAAATGAAGACACAGAAACGCTAAGTGACTAGTGCAAGTCTCTTCGAGGACTGGAAAATAACTTAGATTTTACAATTTTTTTCTGCTATTCATCATAAAAACTAGTGTCCCTCTTGAAGGGAACAGTAAGATTTATTTTAAAATAACTACTAGGTAACTCTTCAGATTGTTCTCTAGTTTCCTGGCTTAGCTGTCATTTCCCTTTCTTACCTCATTTTTAAATAGTAGAAGAGAAGTCACTTTCACTGACCTTAAAAATCTTTGGATCATGCCTTTCCTGTTTATGTGTTAGGGTTTAGAAATGTGGATAAAAAGGAGCAGGTTAAGAGTTTATATAACTACATTACCTTGAATATTTAAGTTTAATTTTGTCACAGCTGCGACTTGCCTGCTGACTTCTGAAACATAACTTTTCCACTGGATATATAAATACACTCATTTCAGTATATTCACAAAAATATAATTTAGATTACAAGAAATGAGAAAACAGCATGGCCCTCTATGCAGGAGTAGATGTCATCCACAGAAAATGAACTATTGAATTGATTTGACTTTTGAGAAATAGAGGAAAAGATTAACATGCTTAGCTGACATCCACCAAATTTCTATACCAACCTATCTCCTTTGAAGAAGTAGGTTTTCCCAACATCTTCCCACCAAATTGCTGAATCAATGCCATGGGAAGGAATTCCACTTCCAAGTGTTATCAAATCATGAGGATAACCTGGCTGGAGAGTAGTGTCCTTGAAAACCCAGAACTTGTTACCTGTACAAAAGCATATATATACACATATATATGTGTGTGTTAGTCTTCAGTACTCTCAGTATTAATATTAATACACTCCTAAGAAATAAGAAAAACTCCCAAAGGGTTATAGTGGTTCTGCCAAACACAATGAAATGGAAAATGTACCACTGCAGATAATGCAAAATTAAATATGCCTTACAAATACCTTGCATTTATAAAGCACCTTTCATTCAACAAGCCCAAAGAATATTTTGATACCTCAAGAGGCTCTGTGGTTGATAATGTAATACATTTACAGCAATACTACACAAGAGATTTACATTTCATAAAAAAAGACTGAATTTTAAGGCAAAATGAGGCAAGAAAACATATAAATAAACAAAAATTAGAAATTTCCATCCTCATAGAGACCATATATTTTTATTACTCTATATTCTTCTCCTCAAGAGGTTAGATTACTTATGAAGTGTGTACAGATTATTTCTGAAATGACCATGGAATTTAATCTTTTTTCAAACCATATTTTCTTCAGTGTGGCCTAAAGACAGCACACTGAAGTTCTGAAGTCCCACCAGTGAAAACCTTGTGTTTCTGAAATTAACGGGAGGTCCTCAGCTGGAGGAAAGTGGGTGGCTGTTGATCAGAGGATTTCCAAAAAAGCCAGAAAAAATTATAAGCTTTCAAACTCAGAACCAAAGGAGGAGGAGTTATAGTTGAAAATCGATGCAAAAGATGCCTGACTGTGATGAGAATTAGCCCCTTTTATTTCTAACTTATATTTATGTATCTTAAAATGTATTAAAAAAGAATGGTTAAGTCAATATTCTTTCATTTAGTTCACATTCCACTTCCACTAACAAATAGTCAGTGCACTTCATTAATTGTGATTATAATGGAAAAAAAGAATATATGACAAAACTGGAATAGTTATAGTTTGATCCTTCTTATAGATAACTAATGCTTGTTCAGAGACTCCTAACCTATGCCCTAGGCAGAAATCACCACTGTATTTATTTTACAAAGTTGTTTTTTAAGGTCTGGTTGGTGGGTTTGTTATTCTCACACAGACTAAAGCACCACGTTTCATGAAGTCTGGCCAACCTTCAGGATGTTTCATCTCTCTGCTTTTATTCCCTAATGCAAGATCTGATATAATAACAAGCAGAATGGGAAGGTCACAAGCTGAGAATGAAGCAAGTGATAAAAAAGTCAAAATGTCTTACTTTTTGCAATAATGCTTTGTTAAATATCATCACTGTAGGGAAACGATTGAGAAGGATGAACTGTGACTGCAATTATTTGAAGTCTCTCAGCATCTATCTTTGACATTATAAAAAAATTACGGGAAATAAAGGGTATCTGTATTGCTAGGCTTCACTTAAAATATTGAATATTTAACTCCAGATATTCTTCAGACTATTTAATTACCTACTGACTACTGCAAACAATTATGCAGTTTTTAGCAACTGTAATTCTTCCTTTGAAGAACCAGAATGCTGAATAGATGTGCTCCTGGGTTGTCAGCAACCAAGATTTTTGTTCATATTATATGCAATTATGATAGGTGTATAGTGCAAGACGTGTTTGGGATATAGCCTATAATCACTGGAAGTTACAGTGATGGGACAAATTCTCAAAACTCTTAGGAATTATATTCAATGGAAACCAGTTAAAATTTTAATATCTACTTCTGAAAGGTTTTTCCCTAGTTACCCTTGCTCTTAATTTTGTTCTTTCAAGCCAGCACAAAGTATCCTCTTACTAGTACTCTCAAATTACTATTCATGCTTCCTTTTCTTTTGTATCTATTTCCCCCACTAAGTTTCTGTCATTTCTCTGCTCCATTATCTGACACTATAGTAAATCTACTTTTCAGAATAAAACTGTCAAGCAGTGGGATAAGTGCAGTTGAAAGTTATTACGGTGGCACTGGTAGTATGAGTTTTACAGAAGCCTTTCTGTTGCTACATTTGGTTTACCATAACATTCAGTAGCGCAGATGGTTTGACAATTTCATTTTTAGAACCATATAAATTCCCACAGGTACACAAAATAAATTTTACTATTGAATTTCCTCATAAAAAAAAAAAAAAAAAGTATCGTTCTGGTGCCATCTTCTTATTATGATTCAGCTTGGACACCAGCAGCGAATAACAAGAAGAATGTAAACATCTGCTTTTTATAAGCAGTAATCCACCAGATTGCTACGTACTTTATGAGCATTATGAGACACAAGGAGGCAGGCCAAGTATCTTAAGCCACTGAAATGAGCTAGCATCACTTTGCACTACAAGCTACTGAATTTTTACCATTGTTTTCTTGTGTAAATAAATAGTGTTGGTTTTTTTTTTTAAAAAAAAAGGAAAGAAAAGTTAAAATTGTAAAATTAATTAATAAAACCCCATAAAACAATGAAATTTGAAACCAAAGATGGCACTCGATCCATCAGTTATGAACGTGATTCAACTTGATTTTCTATAGGCATCCAACACATTATGCATGATCTCACAGGCTCCTCAGGTATTCTCAGGAGAGTAATGTCAAATAGGTATAAATATACTGATAGATTTTATTAGCACAAATTCAGAATAACTACATTTCTCATAGCAAAAATGTAAGTTATAAAGACGTTTCAAAGCTTCCTAAATAGATGCATCATCCTGAGCTGCCGTCTTGTATCATTTGCATATGGCTCATATTTTACAACATAGTTCCCATTTAAAAAAATATTAGTTTTAAAAAACTTTTATATCTCTACCGATCTATATTTCTACTACTGTAAAGAAGAAGTCTACTAATATCATGAATCCAACTGTATACACAAAGTGAGGAAAAAGCTAATGTTTTTTAAAAAAAGTAATAAAGATCTAAACCTGTTTTATAATTTAAATCAACTGTTTCAAATTTGATATTTGCCATCCTGAAAGACAAGGATTTAAAGAATCAAATAGAGCACAGATTATTGAAATTAACTAAGATTTGTGGTTTTCTAAAGAGATAAATAGAACGTTTCAATCCAGAATAGTTCATAAGGTCTATCCTGCGTGCATCTTCAGAATGTCACTGGTCAATAAGGATATTGCTTGTCCTTAACTTATGACAGGGCAGGCACATAAGAAGAAGCAAGGCAGCAATTACTCACTAGCAATTGCAGATGAGTAAATAAAAAAAAAAAAAAGAGAAAGCTTGCTGCTTTCTTCTCCTTCCACAGAAAATAGAGATATCTCTACACAAGTATGAAAGTAGGAGTGAAAAACCAGTCAGTCACTGGAAGCCCCGTTTCACGCTAGTAAAAAAGCCTCCGAAGTGAGTAAAAGAGCACAATGGAGATGGGAAGTGTGCCTGGAAATTTCCTTTGAGCATGGGCAGAAGCAGCAGTGGCAGTTCTGAAGGGAGGATATTTACACACTGACCTGTTTCTCCAGAAACAGTCTCTCTCCAGAGAGACTTTATACTCTACAGGACATTGGATATTACCGATACCTTGAGAAGAAGTTTTGGAGACTTTATTTAAAAATCTGTAAGTAAATGCTGTCTTTACTCAAACATCACACATCTGCTGTGAAGAACTGACCAGTCTTAAAATGAAATGATCTGTTTTTCTGAGAGGAGCACTGAGTGACATTATTCCAGTCCAAGCTCTGTGATGGCATTCACTCTTTCTATTTTTTCTCTGAATAGTGGACATAAATGTTGGCTTAGATATGTGCTTTGTGAACACATCTCCATGCCAGACTTTTGGTTTAAAGCTCCTTCTAGAACTTCCTTGGTTTGACCAGTTTTTGATTTCTAAAGCACACTATCTGGATAACATGTTCTACTGGCTCACCATCTTAGCAACAATCAATGTGTCTATTTCTAGCACCTTTGGGCGGAAGACATACACTCTTTTCCTAGGAAGAAATTACGCAAAGGAATGGAAGAAAAGAGACAATGATTGTTGCCAATAGTCTATTTATACAGACTTCTGCAATCATGTTCCACAAGGCAGCTGAGATCCTTGGTAAACAGGAATTTTCAAGGACACACATACAAAAGACTCAGCTGAACCTATTGATTCTGTGGTAGTGGAAAAACCCAAATCACAGTGATAGATAAACATCATCAGGTAGATTTTGGAAATCATGAAGAGGAAGCAGCAGAGAAGCAAAAATTCAGAAAAATTGCACAAGGAAATACAAGGGCTTTTGACCTTGGCAAACAAAGGGACAATACAAATGTCACTGGAAAAATAATGAAAGGAACTTTGAAAGGAAAGCAGGTGGGAAAATACCTGCAACAGAAAATCCAAGTACCATATGATATCAGCTAGAACACACAGAACTACCTGGTCGAAAATCAGAGAGCATAAACTAGGCATGATGATGAAGGAAAACAACACAATATTCTGACTTCTAAGAGCACACTTCTGCTGCTTCTGCTTGCTTTAATTAATCCTGATTATTTAATTTCCCAGGTAGAAAATAGAGAATTTCCTCTCACTTTTTTTTGTTTTGTTACTATAACATACAGGCAGGAGTCAATCAGTATTGAGTGAACAGTTAAATAATAATAAAACATATTATGAGGTCACTGGGAAGGAAAACAAAGAAGGTGTAAGACTAAGCTGGACAATTTCTGTCTGAAGCTCAGGTAATCAGCAGTAGTGTGGCCAGCAGGACTAGCGAAGTCTCCCCTGTACTTGGCACTGGTACCCACCTCGAATACCGTGTTCAGTTTTGGACCACTCCCTACAAGAAAGACATCGAGGTGCTGGATCACACCCAGAGAAGGGCAATGGAGCTGGTGAGGGGTCTGGAGCACAAGTCTTATGAGGAGCAGCTGAGGGAGCTGGGGATGTTTAGCCTTGAGAAAAGGAGGCTGAGGGGAGACCCTATTGCCCTCTACAACTATCTGAAAGGAGGTCGTAGCAAGGTGAGGGTAGCAAGCGATAGGACAAGAGGAAATGGCCTCAAGTTGCACCTGGGCAGGGTTTAGACTGGATATTAGGAAAAATTTCTTCACTAAAAGGATTGTCAAGCATTGGAACAGGCTGCCCAGGAAAGTGATGGAGTCACCATCCCTGAAGGTATTCAAAAGACATGTAGTTGCAGTGCTCAGGGACAAGGTCTAGTGTTGGACTTGATGATCTTAATGGTCTTTTCCAACCTAAATGATTCTATAATTCTATAATTCTAATGGATCGCAGCATTATCAAGGTAGAGGTATGGAATGTGCAGGGTATTTCTGTTGCTCTATGTAGCAGTGATGAGCAAAGAAATATCTACAGAATAATATTTGTACCCTCCCACGTCCCATGGACCAAAAATCAAGCAGAGGGATGGAGTTTGGAGGTACTTTGGTCATGATTCCCAATCTTATCAACTTCTCAGAGTTTATGACATGAAGTTCATTTTATGGCAACGGAAGTAAAAGCATATGCTGTATTGAAGCATGTAAATAGAAAATGTGCTATGTGGAACGTAATTTTCCTTATGAAAGAAAAAATACAATTTCCCAATTAGTAAAACATAAGTTTCATCTTTCTGCATGTTATTAAATATTTTCCATTTAGCATTCCCAAGATGATAATGTTTCCATAGTAAATGAAATACAATTTCCATCTCCCTGTTAATGACTCCACTTGTAAAAATGAATTCATTTTCAATATAACAACTTTTTAAAAAACATCTACTTTTTTGTAATGAGTTAAAAATTGAATCACTCACACACTAATATAACTAATAAAACACTAAATAGCTGAATAATTTTTCACATATCTATTCAGTTTCTTCTTTCTTCTCTCAAATTATTATCTTATAAAACTTACTTTACATGCCTTTCATTCTTTTGTTGCTAACTGGGTATTTTCTTAGCACATAGGATAATTTTCTCATTAAATCTAAATTAGATTCATGTTCAAGAACTTTAGTTTTGAAGAATGGCTGATACCTGGAGTGAAACTCTGAAAAGAATGATTAGCAACAATTCGATCCATACAACATATTTTCTGGAGTTTATGCTTCTTTAAAAATACTAAATACATATCTATGAAACAGATATTTATTTTTCCCACTCCTAACATCACCGTTCTCAGATGAAATAAGTACAGTGCAGTACAGTGAGATAAATCTAGGCCAGACGCCATTTAAATATATGCAAATTTCATCTGTAAAAAGGAATAAGAGCAGAGAACTGCAAAGAAATAACATGGGAGTGTGTTCATTCTTGCTTCCTAACCCACATTTTTCAAAAAGGATTTCATAGTAGATCACTGCATTGCCACGCCTCTTATTTATACTTCAAAATTTTTACTGAATATATGAGTAAATGATATCATACTCTGAGCAATAATCAGAAATTAAAGCAGTACTTGCCAAAATGAGAAAACGTAACTCATATACTTTTAGCTACCAATTTTCAGCATGATTTACAAATCGTTAGTAAAAAATAAACAAGATATATTCCAAGAAATCATCACAATCAAAAGTATTACACAAAATCTTACTTTTCTTACCTTTAAAGAAGACAAAATTCCCCTCACTGTTTTCATAAACTGCATCGATGCTGGGAGGCAGCCCCCTCCAGAAGTAGGTAATCTGCATGGGGTATCCATCCATCACCCTGTTGTTTCTGACTCGCCAAAACCACTGATCCTGGAAACCAAATATACGTCTCTTAACTATGCTTTGAGACATTTATACGTGTTCAGTTGCTGTCTTGAAAATACTGAGCAGCCTATCCCAGCATTTTTAGAGCATGACATTTCACTGTTTGCATAACGGCATTTGTGTTTGCATTTGTGTCACATCCACACACCACAAATGTGTCAGAAGCAGTTGTTCCCCGAGGTGGGAATGAGCTACCCATGTGCACTGTGTGTTGGGTGTAGATAACCTTCAGCAGAACACACAGCGTGCTGCATGCCATGATGTTAACTTTCTCAACATCATAGGGCAACGAAACTAGTGAAGGGCCTAGAAGACAAATCATACGAAGAGCGGCTGAAGGAGCTGGGGCTGTTTAGTATGAGGAAGAGGAGGCTGAGAGGAGACCTCATCACTCTCTACAACTACTTGAAAGGACACTGTAGAGAGGTTGGTGCTGGTCTCTTCTCACAGGTAATTAGTGACAGAACGAGAGGGAATGGCTTCAAGCTCCAACAGGGTAGGTTTAGATTGAACATTAGGAAGGAATTTTTCACTGAAAGAGTGGTTGGGCATTGGAACAGGCTGCCCAGGGAGGGGGTGGAGTCACCATCCCTGGCTGTGTTTAAGGGCCGTTTAGATGCGGTACTGAGGGACATGGTGTAGGGGAGGACTTTGTAGAGTAGGGGAGATGGTTGGACTCGATGATCCCAAGGGTCTCTTCCAACCTCAATGATTCTATGATTCTATGATTCCCATTAGGGGTCCAATTTAAAATTTGTGGACTGACTACAGGTGCTTTCAGACCAAACCACGTGCCTATGTGTAGGACTAATATAAGGGGACTACAGACAGGCTTTGAAGATCAACTAATTCTGCAAATAGCTCCTAACAGTGAAAGGTTGATAGATAGAGCTGTAACATTACTACGTCAGTCCAATAAGAACTACATTTTGATGACAACTTTACTGTAGTGAAGATTTGCAGTCCTTCCACATAATAAACGGTTAATATTACAGCCAGTAATAAGTACTAAATCCACTGGTAGATCTCTCTTAGCTTGTTGCCATCTAGAATGGCTTCTCCCTGTGGGATATGCTATTGCTTTAAGTGACAGTCATACAGAAATTGCATTGTTGAGGAATGAAGAATGTTCAGGTTGAGAAATGAGTATGTGACACATCAGGAGGGTGTTGATAAAGATGTCCTTGTTGTACCTCTTCAGTTCTTATAACAACAACGGTTCCAGTTCATCCAATATTTAGAGATGAGGGATGGGGTAAGCAAGTATTTAACTTTTTACGCACATTTGCACATTTTTACAGCATTAGTGTTATATAAAACAAAACCTCTTAAATGATAAAGAAAGTGCTATTCTGTCAGATATCTGTCACAGTTTTACATGATGGTTCAGCCTTCTTTCTGTATAGGTCAACTTGCCAAGCTAAAGAGATCTGTGCTCTTACGGGAACTGGCACAGCTTGGAGAGAAGATAAATACTTTGCAGGAGCAGGATTATGATGAACTGCATTCATAATCTTTCCAAAACTGAGATCACAGCTCTCTTTTAATTGTTTATCTTTCCAATGACTCAACAATTTATAAACCTCCACAAAAAGTATTAGCCGTACAAATACAAAACAGCTCCATATACATATCTATAAAAAACATAGTAATCATGTGCATAAATGAGTCGAAAATTGAAAGAGTTGTTTTGAGTCCCAGATTTCTGAGAACTTTAGTATTAAAAAAAGTTCAAGTAGCTCACACAACCTGAAAAATATTATATTGAAAAGTTGCAATTGTCTGGAAATACTGCTACTAAAATCCCTCACATTTTTTCACGCCTAGCTATTTCATTGCTAGTGTAACACAGTTGCACTATTCTCAGCTGATTAGATTCCTAATTTCAGCTTTCATTGTTTTGTTTTTGTTTTTGTTTTTTTTATTGTAAGATGTAGTATAACATTTAAGGAAGGTCAGCAAAGCAATTTTTTAGGATTAATTGACTAAATTCCAATCAGAATTCCAAATTGGCAAAAATGGGAGAATACAATTTAGAGATACAAATATTTAGGAAGGCCTAACTGAAGCATGTATGCTGAATGCTGGAACAGATAATGTCAACCTCTGTTATTTTTTATTACAGCATGTAGATAAAACAAGAGGGCATTTGAAAATTAAGATTAGGGGGTATATCCTCAAAGCAGACGTTTGGAAGTATTTTTTATTGAAACAGTAATAAATGTTTGAAATGGATTTTCAGGTCAGGTTTTTTAGGCATCACCAACCTAGGAATGACTTAGGCCAATAGGCCAAACAGTTCTTTGTCTTCCTCAAATTTCTATAAACCCCTCAAAAGCAGGCAGCATCTCTGAGATCAGTTACTAAAGTTTTAAACAAGGACAAACAAGTACCAAGCTGCAGTGATTTAAAACTGCAGTCTCTGTGATATGTTATTATCTTCAGTACAATGGAATATTCCAATCTTGTCTTTCTTCATTCCAAGACAGACAACCCTTTTTATTTGTCTAAATTTGGTTGCAAAAGTACATCTTAGAAAACAATGTCTAGTCACAGGAAGGACCAGATCCATCTCTCGTAAAATGACCACCAACTCAGAAGGACAGTGATCAGGATGTGGGTACAAAATAAGCAAGATATTTAAAGCTGAACAAAGGCAGTCTACTTAGCTGAATACAAAAGGACATGAGCACACACATAATAATTCTTATTTTTAATATGTACCTGGTTACTTCCCAAATTCTACAAAGAAATGAGACCATTATTTCTGTACTAACATCACCAGATCAGTGCTCAGTGAGTTACATAAGTAGAATTGATTTGACCAGACTTACATGCCTACAACGTAAAAATCTGTTTAGAAATGAATCACTGAACCTGGCACAACAAAAGTCCTTCATAGAAACATTCTCAGGTAGGTTTCATTTGGTTGTTTACTTCTCCACACTGAGATGAAACCTGTCTCCTGTTTAGATGTCTGCAAAGTACAAAGTGGGCATCTAAATGCAAGTGAGATAAATCCTGTCCGTTCTCTACTTTTTATTTCCTGGGCTCAACCTGTCATGATGCAAAGAACATAAAATGATAAGGATGACCACACAGGGCGAGATCAGGGGTCATCTAGACCTTTATCCTATCTCCAGTGAAGTCACTATTAAATTAACAGATAAGACTTCAGCCCTGAAGTGGTCAGTCAGTTGGACTAGATGATTGTTGTCGGTCCCTGCCAAATGTCCTACTTCTATTCTATTCTATTCTATTCTATTCTATTCTATTCTATTCTATTCTATTCTATTCTATTCCAATAAAAACAAAGGGAACACGCAACAACACCTCTCTGTTACTCTCTCCCAGTCACCCATAACTTGTTGTTCAGGGACTTCCTGGACCAAAGGCAATAATTTTGTGATTAACAGCACTAGATGGACTTTTACTCCTCTAGACTCCTTCTGAAACACATGCAAACTCAGAGCATCCACAGATGTCAGCAGAAAGGCATATGACAATTTAACGATCCACAGCGTGAAAAGCCATAAGCAATCAGCAACAGTCACAGCTGCTCACTGGTGTTCAGACTTCATTCACCTTCTTTCTTTTGCTTTATCACCAAGAATAGTAGCACTTTGCCTGCAAGATCTAATCCAAGACCTTCGTCACTTCATATTAAAACCATCTTGTAGACTAAATCCTTCTGCTTGTTTTCAGGAAACCTTTCTATACTGTAACACATCTGGCCAATATTAAGGATAAAGGGTCTGTGGCTTGAAACAAGATCTTCCTGTGCCATTGCCTTTAATGTCTAAATATTCCATTCTGAAGCATAATTGTGAACATACCATACCATACTCTCTCTTCTGCTGATGTAATCCTGTAGACTCCTTATTTTCATGCTCTGTTTTCAGTAGATTTACATGCCATTGCAATAATCATGAACAACGGGGTATTGCTCATCAGTAACAGTCCTAAAGGGTTCCACAGAACTCAAATTTAGAAAAATGTATAAGTTAAGCATTTTATGGTCTTATTTAAGCAGACAGAAGATGGCACATAATTTGCCAATAGATGTATTTTTAGAGATAGCCAGACTGATGTGAATCAGCAAATATCTGGAAATGTCTGAGAGCAGAACTGGAAGTTTGGATCGTTTATGTGATTGGGCAAGGTAGGTCTTGGCAGAGGTTGACAGAATAATTTGTTTATGTAAATTTAATTTTCCTGGCTGACTTTCTTATGAACATACTGGACTCAATGGTTTTAGACTGCCAGAGTTTAAACTCCGGAACTCAAGTCAAGAAACTCTAGGATGTGGCTGTAAGGCATGCCAAGGATCTTTCTGAGGTATCGGATGGGGGAGGCTCTGCTTATAGAAAGAATGGAACATTTCAGCACATATAACTAAAGGTACCTAATTTATCTTACACAAAGTTATATTTACCACCAATTTTACCATCCACATTTTGATAAACAGCTAAAATTACTGAAAAATGTGTTTTCAACACAGTTCAGCTAGAATTGAAATTTGAAAGAGGCAGAGTCCAAGAGAAAGTGTATTCACCTTAAATAGCTTTAAAGAGTTTCTCTGACAAAATACGTCTCAGTATATTTGGTTATACTGAATAAACATAATTTTTCCTCTTTTGAGAGATATTGTGTATTGAAAAACTGTTTGTCTTTCCCACTCTATTGGTTAAATATACGTTTAATTATTTCATTTCCCCAAAACACATTAACTCCTGCAGACAGGTTGAACGTATAACTTGTCACATGCACTCCAACTCCATGCCTGACAAACACAAACATTGAATACATAGCTTTTAGTGCCTTTTTAGTGCCTTTTCTTGCTGGCTAGCAAATGCCTTTTTTGTATGCATCTGTAGTTACCCCAAAGCTTCAAATATATGGATCTGTGCAGCTGGGATCTTGCATAATAATGGATCATTAAATATTATGACTATAGACATACTAAGTAAATTAAACTTGGACAA